ATACACATACACATACACATACATATACACATACATATACATATGCATATAAGTTGCCTTAGACCGCCTCAACATTGTGAGGCGTATGCCTCAGGCCTACTGAGGCTTAAGCCTCAAAGGTGAAATGCAACCGCCTTACCGCCTCACCGCCTCTAGGCGGACCGCCTCGTTCGCCTTTTAAAACCGTGTTGGGAAAAATGGAGGAGGTGATTGATAAGGCTCAAGAACGAGGGCTAAAGTGGTGTTCGAAATGGTGTGGAAAGATAGGGTGTTTGCACTTTTATCTGAAGAAGATGTGTTTAATAAGAGGACAAAATGCATTCTCTTCTCTAGAAGTGGTATAACTCCCAAACATGCTTATTTTCTAAAGTGTCAAAATTTTAATTATTTTGATTTTCAAGTTGAAAAGATCACTTCAAAAGTTATAGTGTTTCTCTCCTTAGGAGCCTTATATTGCTTATAATGTTGACATGAGTGCCTTAAGTAGAGACGATATTACCATGTATGACATGATCCTAGGAACAAACACCTCTTCGTAGATGCGTGCATGACATAATATCTTACATTCAAAATCAGTGACGTGTTGTTGCATTAATTCCTTAGGCAAATTTTTACCATGTATGAAGTTAAAACACAATATATTATTGAATGCAAACATCACATACACTTCGTTCAAGTCTTTATAAATCTTCATTCTCATTCCTTCAATTTTCAAAACTGCTACTCAGCGCGGCTTAACATTTCTAATGCACGAATGTTATTACTCGTAGTGCGTTGATTGAAAAATCCATGCCTATATCCATATGACGAGATATAACCCTAAGAGCAAAACTACCGCCCTAGCATTTAAACACGTAGACATACATATAAAGAAGTTTGCCCTTTGTTTGGCGACTGATAGTCAACTACTAAATGTACAAAATTGAACAGCTAACTTGATTTTACTCAATTTTTTACTAGGTTTTATTTACTCATTTCACTCGTATGTTAACTATTTTTTTGTTTGTTTTTATTATATAGTGGAAAATTATTTTCAAATAATAATGGTGGCACGATGCTGTTTGTATTTAGTGGTGCAATCAGAATTATCAAAAGGTTCATTAATTCTTTACAAACTGAGGTTAGTAATCTTTTTGTATTTACTATCATTTCATTGTAATTTTGTTTTACTTTTTCTGTTTTATTATTTACCAAATTTATCCAACAATGTAAATCTCGTAATTTTACCATACATAATGCAAGTATGCTAGTGAGTTTTTAAGTTGTTATTTTGCAACCAACACATGATTTTTGCCAAGTATGATGAGACAAAAAGAGTAAGTTAGTTCAATTTTTAAAATTGAACATAATTCAATTTTTTGTATTGATTTTCAATTTTTGTATGGTCTATCATATTTTTATGAACCATAATTTGTAGGATCACCTGATTACCCATATTGATAAAAAGGAAGGGGTAAGGGACATCAATGAAAACTTTGACATTAGCTACATTAAAAGTGAGGAAATAGAGACATTTTTTCTAGAACCACACAAATTATTTATCTTTATTGTTTATTTATTTATATGATTTGTGTAAGTGATTTGGTATTTTCATAATCTTTTGGGGCATTTAGGCTGAGAGACTATACACAGAGTGATGGAGCGAATCATATTCCAAGGCGTGCTATTTGTCATTGTGCAAGTGTGGACAAGGCTACCTGAGGTATTCTCTTAAGTAAGTTTTTTTCATATTTCTTCTTACTACTAATTTATTCTTATGATTAATTTAATGGTGCTTTTTTACAATTTATTTTCGGGATGGGACTTCGGTTGACGTATAGGTCGTACAACATTTGTTAACAAAGATCTTTCCACTTATTTAGCAAGAACGAATTACCACCACAAAAGCAAGATCGAATTATAATCATTCAAAATTTCACTATAATTCAGTTGTTGTGGATTTCAATTTGCTGCTTCTTTCAAAACTTAAATATTTTTTGAAAGAAGCATTCGGCAACTAAAATACACGACATTTGAGATACAATAAATTTTTGAATGATTGTGATTTAATCTAACTTTTCCAGTGGTAATTCATTGTGTATAAGTTGGAAGATCTTCATAGTAAACAAACTTTCGTAGAAACTATGTGTATTTTGAAGTACACTTATGAAATAAAAACGGTAAAAAAACAGCATTAAATTAGTCACATAAATATATTAGTGATTAGGGAGAAATAAAAAAAACTTACCCATTCATCACTCCTCATATAGTCTCTCCACTTCAATATGCAACAAATTTAACAAAACATAAATAGAAATGACCATGTCCTAGTTAGAAAATCCATGTATAGAAATACAAAGCTTGGATTTTTCAAATAACCCACTACTAGTTAGAATATCCATGTATAAAAATGACCATCATCTCTAAGAAGCAAAAGGCACAAGCATTAAAATTTATAAAGAATAGAACAAAGAGTATGCCAAGTTGGCTTGCATTTAGTAGTAGTACTAATAGATTGTGTTCTAACTCAGTACATAGTAAGAATTAGCTAAGGCATAAATGAAACAAACAAGTCACGTATTCTGAACGGTGTGTCATTCACACTCAAAACATCATTTTTTGACAAAGAAATCTTGCAAAACATCACATATTGAAAAACCAAAGCCTTGTAATGTTCTGAATTTCCACAATTCCACTTAATGCCTTTTTGACTGATTGAGTAATGTGATTGTTGAACTCTTATTACAAACTTTCCAAGCAGTTTGAGATTGAATAAAATGTATATTCAAGAAGAGCTTACGCTCGTCATTATCTATCTTTTCAAAGTTGATATCAAATTTTGACATGAGATCAGTGGTCTTCTTGAAGCAATTGTTCATCATGTCGAACTTTCTTATTTCATGCCCAGTGTGATCAGTCTTGTTAGTGTTCATTTAAAGTAAATGTCACGCACAATTATACATCACAAAAAACTAAACAATATCCTTACAAGTTTGTTCATTTAGTTGTACTAAAATAAGTTTCAATATTAGCACTACATATTATTGTAGAAACACTTTCTTAAAATTCACACTTCATTCGTATTAATTTTGTTGCCATTCGCCACTACGGTTCTCTGTTTGCAAAACTGGTGGAACCTACCCCTAAACCCCTCACCAAAACACTACCCCTGCCCCTTAATAGCTGATTAAACACTGCCCTGCAATTAAAGGGAGGAGGTTGAGGTGAGGTTTAAAAGAGTTAGGGGAAAGAACCATCAATTTTCCAACAGATCACCATAGGTTCTCTAAAAAGTAGCAACGGAACTGCTCTGCACTTTATTTGGGAACTTAAGCAACTTTTCAAAATAGCTTCATAAGCCAAATTTGAATCTCGTCAGATCCAGCGACATGCATACACGCAGAAATTCAAAGCTAAACATTAAACAAACGAAGAATATGAAAGAACAACTATGAATGTGAAGTTTATACCAACGAAGATAACCTTGGAACCTGAAATTTCTGGATTTTGACACCAGATTCTCTGTTGCGTCGTCTTCAGGTGGTTGCTCCAAATCGTTTCTGTTCATCGTTGTCCCCCGTCTCATCTGCAAGCCATTTCCCTGTTGGAAACCAGAGCCAGGAGCTAGGGCTCGAGCCCTAACCCCAGCATCGCCCTTAGCGATGCTTGCGCCTCCCTCTGCGTGCGTCTCTGGTGTCAGCGAAAAAAAAACAACAAAAAACAAAAATAATGTCGGCAAGAATAGTCTGAGAAAGTAATTTGAGAAAAAGCAATAAAAACCTTGTTGTTAGAATCGGAAGAAAAAATTGCAATCTCGGGGAAAGAATGGCTCGACCTAAGATGCTTCAAACCTCAAAAAAAATTGCAGTAGGAAAGAGAACTTGCTAGGATCTCTTCCTAGGGTTGGCCTCGAAAAAGTATGAGAAGATAGCTAAGTGGGAGGAGTTGGGAGGAAATAAATGGAGAAAAGAAAATGAAATGGAATACACTCTAGGACAACATTTTAGCATTAGGTTTAAAAAGTAATATGCATTGTTAGAATTTTATCTAAAACGTTAAGGTTAATTTCTAACGTTATTTATTAAACAGGCTCACTATTTGCAGTACCTCGTACTCCTTATTTATGAAGGATAAGCCCCACACTATGATCCTTTGGACCTCTCACTAAATTGGATTTTAATTTCAGATTGATGGTAAGAAATTAAATTTGCATATATTACTTGTAAAGACATCCTATCATATATCCTATATATATATATATAAAGCAGAGGCGGAGATGCAAGAACGCGACATTTGGCAAAGCTGAGGAGTGACATTTGGCAAAGCTGAGGAGTGACATGTGGTAAATTGAGGTGGCAAGAGAATTAAATGAAAAAACAAGAATCACGTGACCCATAAAGTAAGCTTTAATTTCCTTAGCCGTAAAAACTCGGACCTTTCCTCATCTCATATGAATGCCATTACATTTGGTAAATGTGATGTATACATAGTAAGTAATAAAAGACTATTAATTTTCGTTCCAATAATATTTTATTACGTAAATGTTCACCCAATTTTTTATTTCGCGCCAATAAAAGGGTATTTATATCGTAAATGTTCAAAAACAAAAATAGAATGGAAATTTGTTTGGAAAGAAAAAAAATCTGTTTCAAAAATAAAAATTTAAATTTCCATTTAAAAATTTTAAATTTCTGTTTCAAAAGATGTTAGGTCATTACAATTGGTAATTGTGATGTTTACATGGTCAGTAATAAAAGACTATTAATTTCAGTTCCAATACTATTTTATTACGTTAATGTTCAACCCAATTTTTTATTTCACGCTAATAAATGGGTATTAATACCGTAAATTTTCAAAAAATAAAATAGAATGGAAATTGTTGAAAGAAAAAAAATTCTATTTCAAAAATAAAAATATTAAAATTTCCGTTTAAAAATTTTTAATTTCCGTTTCAAGAAATGTTATGTCATTACATATGGTAATTGTGATGTTTAGTTACTAAGTATTAAAAGGCTATTAATACACACCAATAAAGGCTATTAATACCGTAAATGTTCAAAAATAAAAATAGAATGGAAATTTGTTTTAAAAGAAAAAAAATTCTGTTACAAAAGTAAAGGCCAAAAGGTAAGAATTAAATATTCTTACCTTTTCAAAAATTTCTTCGGAAACAAAAAACTTTCCGTTTCAAAAATATTAAAAAAAATTTTAAAAAATAAACCCTTTGTACTATGATTAGCCTTTTAGAATATAATTATATACTATAAATACGGTCCTTTCTAGACCTTTCGTAGTAAGATTATTCAACGTAAGTTTTTATTCAATGCTTCAACATCGCCTTTTTTACGAGCATGAGGATTTTAACCGACTTAAAAATGTTGATGAGAGCCCAGCGCTATTAATGATGAAACTAAGAGCGATAAGAGTTTATCACTTTCGTGCCCATTCTCGGCGGCCAGAATCATTGGATATTATTTTTCATGACTCAGAGCCATGTCAATTTTTTTGACATGTCAGCACGCCACGTCATCAAGTTATATTTAAAGAATTAATTAATAAAAAAACTTATTCTATGAAAATTAAATTTTGTATTTATTACACACAAATTTCTCAACATAATCACGTTTAAAACTTTTTTATTTTAATTTTTTTTGGAAAATATTTAAATTAAATAATATATTTTGTAATTGAAAAAAGAACTAATATTCAAAAACCATAATCAAAAGAATAAATTTATTCTAAAAATGGATAAATTGGTAAACTAAAAGAAATTACAAATGAATATTTATTTTTACTTTGAATTAATACTAATTGGAGATATTTTCCAACTTTGAAAAAACAGAAATAGATATATAAAAGAAAATGGATTTTAATGGGCATGTTTATTGAATAAAGTAATAATTTTATTCAGTATATATTTAAAAAATACTAAGTTAAATAAAAAGTATGTTCCATTTTAAAATTAGTAAATTCTATTTTTAAATTCTTATTTTCTATTACGAACTTTGTAAAAATTTATAGATGTGTGCCACAAAATTACTATTTTCCATTAATAATTTTTGAAATGATGAAGACTTAGTATGTGAGTATTTATGTGTGAGAAATTAATTATTAATTAGTGTTCCTAATCGAAATATTTATGGTATAATATTAATTTTAATAAGTGTAATTACTATTAATTAAAATTCTTGAAAATAAAAAACATGCTTATTTTGATATTTATGTCAAAATAATATAAATAAGTAATATTCTTACTTATTTATTCATCTGACCGCCAATATCAATGTATCAAATATTAGTGTATAATAAAACTTTTTTATGTTTAAAATTTTTAGATAAAAATATTTACAATATTTATTTTATGATAGTTTTTACAGATACAGAAGAAGAGAGGTCGTCATCGGCTATAACCTCGCCTCATCGAACACGTTCGAGAAAGAATGTGCTCTGTGATTTGACAAATGGTATTTTTATTATTCTGAATTAAATATTTAATTTTTCCAGTAATTGTTTCCCAAAAAAATCTATACAATTCTCCAATTCGAGAATAATTACACAATTCATCGTGCTTTCAAGTGCATAAGAGACAGAAGATTGATCTCTCTTCTATAACACATGTTTTTAATTTCTTTGAGCATGGTAATAAAACAATTGTCTTTGTGTATTAACTAACTATATGTATAAATTATTATGTACTACGTAAATTAATATGGTGGACACACTCAATTTTGAATTTCCATCTTCTAGGACTAAAATTTGTAATCTTTAGAGATCAACAAAAGCTAAAAGATGTTGTCGAAAAAATATGACAAAGCTTCAATGTTTGAAGCTTGGATGGTTTTCAATACACAGTATGATGCGAGATAAAATTTGACGTGTGCAAAGAATTTCCAGAATTTCCAGATCTTTTTGTGTACAACCACAAAGTGAAGAAATGGTCTGATGCAACAAAGACCGTCAATAGGGAGGTTACAATATGTGCTTCCAGAAACCACCGTCAATAGGCAGGCTACAATATGTGCTTCTAGAAACCAGAGAGTTATACAACTTGAGAATACTATTAACTGTCCAACGAGGATGTATAAGTTATAAGAGCTTGAGAAGAGTTAACAATGTTCTACATAACGCATTCATAGAAGCATGTGAAGCATTGAGGTCATTAACCGATGATAAATAACGTACTGAAGGTATAAAAGAGGTTGTTAAGTTAGGATTTGAGAATATGCTAAGAATGTTGTTCGTCCAAGTATCATGAGTCACCTACAAATTGTTTTAAAAAAACAATAGGAACTCCTCTTGAATGAAATTTATTTGATCGAATGTGAATATTGTGGAATCAAGTTACTTGAATATAAAGAAAGTTTTTAAACCTATCAATCCATCTGAAATGCATTATATGAAAACAAAACTCTTTAATTGAGTACTGCATAGAATCAAATAAATCCTTTTTTTGCAGAGCTTGTAATCTCCCGAGAAGACCTAAAGAATTTATGTCTAATTGAGATTAAAGAGTTGCTTATTTGGAATGGACGGTGTTTAAAGTAAATCAGTGGCATGCCATTTGGAGATGACAATCAACTTAATAGATATCAAAATAATTTATTGGCAGAGGAGTTAAACTATGACAATGAAAAGTTATCATTTGATCTTAGAGGATATTTATCTATAATGAATGAATATCAGTGGAATATATCTAATGAAATAATGCAAGTCATGATAGCTGAAAGAGAGAGTTCTTTAATTTTTTGTTCATGGTTACGGTGGAATTGGAAAAATATTTCTTTAGAAATCATTATCTGCTTTTCTGAGGTCAAACGATAATGTTGTCCTGAATGTCGCATCCAACTACATTGTAGCATTGATTTTTCCTTGGGGAAGGAGACTCGAGATTTTTAATCACTTTGGTGCCAACCGAGTGCTCATTGTATGCCATCAAACAAAGGAGCCCGAAAGCAGACCCAATCCAACAAGTATAATCATACGGGATTTATCATCTACGATGAATATGTTTTCTTTTGAGACGTTGAATTGCACAATGAGAGATGTAATGAGTATATCTAATAATAACTTCATAAATTAACCATTCAGAGGAAAAACAAATGTACTCAAAGGTGATTTTACCAAATACTTTCAGTTTTACTCATAGTTTTGAAAGTGAAAATTGTAGGTGTTACCACCAATTCCCCACAAATGTGGTTGTGTTGTAAAATTTATACGTTGACCAAAAATATGAGATTGCATTAATCTACACTCTCTTGCACAGATAGTGACACACAAGTTTTTTCTGATTGGATAATCAAAGTCGAAGATAGAAAATTTAGACAAGTGATCAATGGAAGTGCTAACGTTGAAATCCCGCCTGAATTCTTGATTCTTGAAATAAGTTATCCCCTCAAGAGAACAATGGAATTCACTTATCCGAACCCACTAGAGAACATGAAAAATTATTTTTTTAAGGATAGTGGAGTATTATCACTCACGCTCGAGTTGTTGTATGGTAAATGAATTTGTCATATCCCTTATTCTAGGAGGTGAAAAAGAGTACTTAATTTTTGATTCTTCTTGCAAAGTTAACAATTGGATAACACTTCAGTTTTTTTAATAAAATCAAATGTTCCGGGATCCTAAACCTAAAAATAATTTTTAAAAAAGGGGTACCGATTATGTTATTAAAGAACATTGACCAAATATCTAGATTGTATAATGGTAAAAGATTAATTGTTGAGAAGCTGAGAAAGAACATTATCACTGCAATTGATGTTTTGGGAAATCAGTTGGGAAAAAGATTTATATACCCTAAATGAATTTGGTATCATTTGATTCAGGACTACCCTTGAAATTCTAGAGAAGACAATTCTTAATATTCTTATATTTTGTTATGACTATTAACAAAAGTCAAGGTCAAACATTGTCTTTTGTTATATTATTTTTAACCAATTCAGTATTTACTCATGGTTAGCTTTATGTTACTTTTTCACGAGTGAAAGCAAAGACATAATTAAAAATATTGGTTCTAGATGATAATGGAAATCCT